GTCAGAGACGCGAAGAGTGCAGTCATTGTCATCAGATTCTGAACCATGGGATCGGAGATTCATCACAACACCGTAATCTTGTATGCGTGGTTCGGAGACGGTACACATCAATGCTAAGAGAGTGAAGAGTGAGAGTCAGTGCTGCCTGCCGGTCGATCTGACCTAGAGTGCGTAAGTTAGAAGAACCAATGTGTAATGAATCTCTAGGTTTGATGGGAGAAGTACATGCATTGATGGCAGCGGCAGACGAGAGGCGAGAAGAGAGTAGTACTGACGTGGTCGAGAGGGCAGATGATACTTTCCGGCTGCCCATTCCGAGAGAGAGGTTTTGTTCGAGGTGCGCTGTCCCCAGCAATCCACTCAAAAATCTGACCCACAAAGCAGTGATGGAATGTCATTTGCTTGAGGGACTCTGCTCGGAGCCTTTAGCTCAATAGCCTGACTCAAAAGGCAGTGGGGAGCAAGTCCACCTCGGGAGTGTGATTGCAAACCCATTGGGATCTGCTTGAGGCCTGCCACAGTCTTTGAAGAATTAGAACAGTATACACGTGTTTTACAACCGTATGGTCATGCACGTAGGGCCGGGGTCCAAAAGAAGAGCCAAATGATTAGCCAAGCAGAATCAGCGCAGAGATTGGTAGGCGCCCTGCGTCCGTATCTATTCGGTCTACTAACGCAGACCAATTGGGCGGCTGAGGTTGTACGTGTGCCGCATCGTTGTGGCAATTGGTCTGTGCGTGTGCGTGCATGCTGAGTTGCTTGCACTTCAGGGATTGGTTATTAAATGATATCCCCGGTGGGGCAGCGCTTGTTGCGAATGTAGACAAGGTGCCTACCCGACTATTACCCCTCACCCCCACCTCGTCTACACTGGCTCCAGGAGACAGTTGGTCGTTACTGGAGGGGACGGGGTGCACTGTCTTCGCGACGGTACTAGGCTAAGATAGTGGTCTCATGCATCCTGTGTGAAACGGGATACGACCCAGACACGGCCTTGTGTACTTCTGGTACGCATGATTTATCATTTAGGCAGGAATGCTTCCGCCGGATGCCGCCAACCATGTTACGCACCTGCGACCATGGCCAGCCGCAGGTTGGAATTGGCGGGTTTGCACCAATCTGACCAGGAGATGCTTGGCTTGAGGTGGGCATACCAAGCCAATGAGAACCGGGCGGTGCCCTCCCATTGTCAGAGACAATGCGTGGCGCTCGTGCTTTACGCCAATCGAGTTGCGAGCTTATAATCGGTAGACCGTTTGTGTCCCATGGCTAGGTTTTAAGAGGGCCATCGACCTCTCCCTAACCTCCGAAGAGGACTGGATTGTAGAACTGAGTTAATCTGACCCATAACCATTGATCTGTCTGGTATGAGTGGCTCTGAAGGCAATTGGAAATTGCCACCCAACACAGATCAATGGGTCACGGGGGTAAGCAAACGATCACACCACGCTAAGGTCCAGTCTCGTTGCACCTTATCTAATATTTATGGTCCTAAAGTACTAGTCATACTATCTTCGCTTACTACTCGTATAAGCATTGTCGATACGTTGCTGCCATCCGACACCACCAGCGCTCTGCAGTCAGCGATGGCCATAGACTGGAAGGCATCTCAGATCCTCGATTCGAACGGGCCGCCCCACTCCCATAGAGTAGAAATGTCTTCACGGTGGCCTTGCACATACACCACAGACTGGCGCCAAATATATAGGAAGTGGTGTGTCAACCTTTCGCACATGACTTCACCTCCATCTTTAAATAGCGCAGGTGTAAAGGATCAGCATGTAAAAACGGTTGATGGCTGTGACCACGTTTCAGACCTAAGCCTCCGACAGAGCCTCTAAACTGGCTAGCCATGGTTCAGCCTGCGTCATCTGAGCAGGCCAACTAAACTGTTCTCGAAAGTTCCCCTTAAAATGAGTCAAATGGTGATTTATAGTGAACTAGTGCACTTCTGATTTTCGCACGAAGCATAACTTACTGAAAAAGTGGTGCGAATCGGTTGCAAGAGTCTGCAGCAACTGTCCATTGCTCCGGCCTCCAATAATTACTGAGCCTTTGTTAGCACGCAGGCGCCGTTGCAGCTCACCTATCAGGCCGTTTGGTCACACTGTTCCTCTGGAATTCAACAGATACGCAGATCTCTAGGATAATCAGTGTCTAGTGTGACGACGGTTAAGGTGCCGCAAGTAGAAGTGCCCGTGTTGTGAATCGTGGTAGTGCTAATTTCTGACTGGGGCTCGATGTCTGGAATAACTAGGCAGAATTGCATCATTGAAACTTTGAATGACTGATGCTTGAGATAACATCTCAGCTAGCTGTTGAGGGAAACGTTCGATACGCCCCACGGATTAGGTACCAGCTTTGTAACCTGAATGTCACCGGCTGGAATTCGTGTAGGAACGAGCGACCACGCGGGGTGCCCAGCTCACGTGTCATTAGTGCAGGTCGCGTGACAGCAAAACATCGGTGTCAAGTATCGGCACAATTACGATGTCTTTTCGACTGCAGTGAAATTCATCGGACAACGGTATCGAAGCTACGCATGACCAAAGTAGACGCCCGTTTCCCAAAAAGTACGACAATACAAGGTGGAACTGCGCCACCAGAAAACGAACAGTGTGTTCTGTTTGAGTCGATCCCTAACCAGCTATCAAATGACGCCACTTAGCAGATATGCGTACTGTTTGAAGTCCGATACTCGGTGCATAACTGCAATAAATTCTCACCGTTGTGTTCAGAAATGGGCATAAATTTTCCATCTAGCTGAGCTTCTAAAGAGTTCGGCCTCATCAGTCTAGTTCAGTGGAACAACTACAATCAAAGCACCGAAGTGCGGTCGATTCAGTTGCCACGACTCATTGCATAGCAACGGCAAAATAATGGGGTAAGAAGTAAATAAACGCGGAGAAAATAAAAGCAAGGGCGTGTATTAGGGTAAGCAACGGAGAAGGAGAATTAACAATCAGATGCAAGAAACCGAATGCATGAACGCCACTAACTGCGTGACTGCCATGTCTGATGCGGTCTCCAACCATTGGTGTGGACCATCTCGATGTCCCTATCCACAAAGACAGTAGGTGTCAGCCTAACCAAGTCTCTCAGTCAATTTCTTCATACCTATATGCCACGACGTGGACTGTCCACCTCGCGATTTCGCCCAACTTGGTGCAGCCACGACGTATAATGCACGCCGAGAAAGCTGATCAAAGGACATGGCCAAGCCAACGTAAGCGATCAGGAATCAGCAAACATTCGAGTGAGGCATCAGAAGGCTTCTTACCAAAAGCCAACTGGCGGACCTCAGCAATGATCAAGCCGCGCTCCCATCTGACGTGAGCAATAATCCGCAAGCACCGGTGGTCAAACACCGCCAAGCGTTTAATGTCCTCACTGAGAACTGGCTAGGTTTCCGATACACACAGTAAGAACGGCCTCACCTCAGCAGTATACCTTACCCTAACAGGCTGATATTCCGCCGTCTCTATAGACCCTGCAGTCACACGGGCCTTGATGATATGCGAAGTCAACTCCTCAGCGATGTGCCACCGGAGTGACAGCTATCAAAGTAAGTCAACCGATCCACTACTTCAAGTGACGGTTTGGTGATAACTAGAACCGGAGGTGTATCGACCTAGTCCTGCAGCCGAACTTTGCACGTTGAAAGTGCAAAACATGGCGAAGCGTGCAGCGCTACGTGTCTGTCTAACCAGTATTGTTTGCACAGTTACTGCGTCAGACCCAAGAAGAGCTTTTCCCGCATACTCTAGGTTTCTTAGTCGGTTAGCTGGCAGAAGTTCCACTCCAGGATAATCCGAAGGAACCGAGTCATTCATGACCATTTCGTTCCTAAAGTTGAAGAGGAAAGGATACAGGATAACCATGGCAAGCTCAGTTTGCCTTGAGGAAAACAGGAGAAAGTTCCACGTACAGCCTCAACGACAGACTACCGAATGTAAAGTAGTTTAGCTGGAACGACCTTGGTGGACATGCAGCGCCACAAGTTAGCGCGGTCAAAGGAGTCGTAGGCGGCTTTCAAGTCAACGAAAACTTCAATAACCGGACGCCTGATCTAAGTAAAGATGTGGTCGATGCAACAACCGAATAATGAGACCCTTGAGGATTATTGCATTCATATCCCCAACAGCTGGAACGATACCTGAACTGGTAACGCTAGGAGCTACAGGTTTTTGTGGTAGTGTCGTGGGTAGTTTCACGGCTGGTCAATAGAGGCACAAGCGTCCAGAGCCGATTCTTGGTTTGTCAGATGGGTTGCATAGAGTCGGCCACTCATAGGAATCATAATTAACCAACAGCGACTCAGTTTTAGGATGCTTACCCCAAAGTGCTTTGTAGTTGCTGCACCAGCATCTCCAGATGCGCGTCGCACTAGCAAGACATCGGAAGTGTTCAAATCGCTATTGTCATTGTGCATTTTGAACTACTGGTTCTGATCAGGGGGCCGGTTTCCAGGATTCGCACCACCAGGAGAGCAATAAATGCAAACGATGAGAAAACGAGATAGAACGCAGAATGCAAAGAAAATGGACGATAGGAATGCGTACACAGTAATCGAGATGCAATGAAGAATAGGTAGGTGCAAGAAACCGAATGCAGAAACGCCACGGACTACGCCATGTCCGACAGTCTCCAGTAACGAAGGTGGACCATCCCGATGTCCATAATCTCCGAGAGGGCACACACTAATCTACCGGAGTCTTTCATAAAATTTCTCTGTGCATGTAACCAACGCCATTGACTGGTTACAACGCGGTTTGGATTGGCTTGTTGTGACGACGGTATATAATCTAGGCTTAGTAAGGCGGCCAATTGGTAAACAGAGGGATTGTCCTAGCTAAGGTAACTAGGTAGGCTATACCAGAAACACGAGTGACGCACCAGGTTTCTTGCAGAAAGAAACTGGCGGACCTCAGCATTGCTCACCCGGTGTTTTCAGCTGGTCAGATTAATGCTTTGCGAGCAACAGTAAGCAAAGACTTCAATGCGAACTGGCCATGTTCATGATCTATACCGCTACAGTGTAGGTTACGAAGTTGACATTTATGGGAATGGCGAACAATAGAGTATCAAACCATTCGATGTTGACATTCTTCGGTGGAAGCATTTGGTACACCCGTTGTTGCATACTACAAGTGGAGCATAGCATAAATCACAAGACAAGATCTTCCATCAGCATGGTTTATTCTGTCATGAAGCCACTTTCGCAGCCTTGCTCAGATAATCGGAGTGTTCTACAAAAAGATGTTTTGCCGTTGGTGCAACTGTCCAAAGATCGGGCGTCAGATACTCGTAGGTTGCTCTGATGGCAGCGTACGTCGCTTTTGCTTAAATGGTAATTAAGAGGAGAAAACTACACTTACCAAAATTTCCTAAAGTCGAGGTTTGACCCCTCGAGCTTGTGTAGACGTCCTCAATGCCAGCCATTTGTAACAACTTTTTAGGAACTGGCGCACCGACTATGCCAGTCCCACGTGGTGCCGGGATAAGCCGCATCGTGACTGAACCACACTTTCCCGTGACCTTACACGGAACCGTATGAGGTTTGCCGATGAGATTCCCCCAGTAGCCTTTTCGAACAGGTATGACGGACAATTTTGCTTGAATAATAGCCCCACGAATGGCAGTTGCTACTTCTTTGGCACACTTCACACCTAGACCAACGTGACAATTGTGGTCCCCCATTGCAACGATGGCTTTAAAACGAGTTCGCTGACCAGCGCGAGTTTGTTTTTGAACTGGCATTATCTTTAAAACTTCGTCCTTTAAAGTAGACCCAAGGAGAGCGTCAATGATTTCCGACTCCTTGATAGGGAGACTGAACATGTAGATCTCTTCGAGAGTTGTAACTTTTTTGTCGGCAACTAATCGGCCAAGCTGTGTGACGGGCTTCCACTCTTTCGTTGTAGTTCCCCGGCCGCGTCCACGGCCACGACCTCGCCCACGTCCACGTCCTCTTCCGCGGCTGCCAAAAGAACCACGGAAGCCACCTCTTGACGTTTGGGAAGGATCCATAAGAAACGACAGAAATTAGCACGAGATGGAAAACGAAACCAACCAAGGTCATACACAAGCCAGCTAATCGTAAATGTTAGCTTAACTTAAAACAAGCAAAGCAAAACTAAAAAACCATTCACAGACATTCCTTTTCTCGATAGAAACCTGAAAATAACATTAGTGCTACGCGATAACTCGACTTTTTGGTGTACCATACTGATCGAGATTTTTAGTTGATATAACGTGGAAAACAGTGTTAGAAAAAACACTTGAAACGAAATTTCACGGGTTTCACGGGTTTGCGCAGAACGAGTAAGCGTAGCTTTTCGGTGGTTCTGCCTCGGGATCTTACGGCAAGGTCCTGATCTCTTCGGTAGGTACCAGATGTTATGGTTCTCGACGCAGTAGTGGTGTTCAGCACCAGAATTCAGCGAGTTGACTGTGGGAACGTGGATACCTGGAACAAGAGAGTGGTGTAGGTAAATTCGGCAAAGTTGAATAGAAGCAAAATGATGGAAGCGCCACGTGTTAGCTTGGCAAATGGCCAGATCTTAACAACGTTGAAGACCAGCGAGGTAAGAGCCAAGCGTCTAGGCGCTGTTTGAAGGCCTCCGTATTGGGCGCTGAGACAACAGTTTCGGGGAGGGCGTTCCAAGCGAAGGCAGTACGCACACTGAAACTGTTTCTTCGGCACAGAAGGCGACTGCTACGAGTCATCAGTTTGAGTGAGTGCCCTCGAAGATGATCTGTACGGGCGCGGACCAGCAATCCTGCGTTTGGGTGTCTGTTATTAGTCAGGACGGAATAAGCTAAGATAAGGTCGCCACGAAGCCTGCGATATTTCAACGGGAAGAGGTTAAGGGCCGCCAGACGCTCCTCATACGAGAAGTGGGATAGTCCGTCCACTCTCTTAGTGGCTCTGCGCTGTACAGTTTCCAGCATGGCCTCGTCCTTCTTCAGGTACGGCGGCTGGACAAGTATGTTGTACTCCAGCAGCGGACGTACTAAAGTGCTATAGAGACGGACAAATGTCTCTCTAGGGAAAGACCCTAGTGCACGTCCAAGGAGGGCTAGGCGAACGCTAGCCTTACGCGCCAGTGTAGCTACATTGGCGCTCGGGCTCAGGTCGGCGGATATTATGGTCCCCAGGTCGCGTTCCTGGGATGTGGCTTTAAGATGCACACCGCCGATATTGTACGGATTAGCCACACCTTGCCCAATGTGCATGACTTTGCACTTGTCGATGTTAAACGGGAGCGAATTTTTCGAGGCCCAAGAATAAGCAGCATCGATATCTGTCTGGAGAAGTGCCTGATCACTTGGCCTGCGGATAGGTCGCCATATCTTAGCGTCGTCCGCATAAAGCAGTATGTGGCTGCTGATACAGGATGGGAGGTCGTTGATAAACAAATTGAACAGCAGGGGCCCGAGGATGGATCCCTGGGGCACCCCGGTCGTTGCAGCCAGAGCGCTGGAGAGTGCGCCGTTTACACGAACTCGGTAGGTGCGGCCAGACAGGTAGGTACTTAGCCAGCAGATTGTTTGCTGGTCGATCCCCAAACTCGGCAGTTTACTCAACAGCAGTGCGTGATTGACCCGGTCGAATGCTTTTGAGAAATCCACGTAAACCACGTCAGTTGGAGTATGATTGTCTGCCTCTGCAGTCCAGGAATCAAGGGCTGCGAGAAGATTCGTGGTGCACGAGTGAGCCCTGCGGAACCCGTGCTGTTCCGGGGCTATTAAGGACAGACTTTCTAAATGGCAGCGCAAGAAATCGTCTACGATACTCTCCATTACTTTGGAGGCAGTGGAAAGCAGTGCTATCGGGCGGTAATTAGAGGGGTTTTTCCTGTCACCACCCTTGTATATCGGCGTTATGACCCCTTGCTTCCAAGCGTTCGGGTATTCGGCACTGGTGTAGGAGCGGCTGTACAGTAAGGCAAGCGGCTCGGCCAGTACAGTGGCGCACTCACGTAGAAAAATGGGAGGGATCCCGTCCAAACCCGGCGATTTGGCTGTCCTTAATTTTTTTAATTTCTCCAGGACTTTCTCTGATGTAAACTGCACGGGATGTCTGGCAGTGACGGGGGTAAAGTTAGCGCCTACCGTTGTACTGCTTGCGACGGTGCCGAAAACGGACTCGTACTGAGTCTTCAGCAATTCCGCAGCTTCTTTGTCCGACGTTGTGGTATGGCCTACGGGTCCGAGCAGGCTGCCAACGGCAGCGCGCGATTTAGTGAGAGACGCTATATGCTTAAAGAAGACCTTGGGGTTATCGGTGAAGCTTTTAGCGAGAGAGAGCTGGTACGCTTTTCTGTCCTGGCGAACAGCTGCTATGCAGGAATTTCGCACTCTACAGTATTGTGCACGCGAATCGGAGTCGCCAAAAAGTAAGAATCTGTCCCAGAGGGCTTTCTTCTCCCTGATCAGCCTAAGCGTAGCAGGCTGAAGTTGCCTGTGGCGTTTCGGCGCGTAAGCGCGCACTGTGGGGACGTGTGCCCTAATTGCGTCGTGGATGTGAGCGGCGATGTAGTTCCAATGGTCGTCGACTGTGGGGGTTTGTGCTGCCAGGGACCAGTCGACTCGTGAGAGGAAATCTTTGATGGCGTCATAGTCCGCTCGACGAAAGTTAAGCCTGATGATTGTCAAATTTCCTCTGATCCAAGATATCTTGGATCGACTAAAGTGGTACTGGCCATAGCGTCTTCCTGCCGCTTACTGGTAATTTTGCGGTTGTTCCCTTTTTTTAATCCCGTTTTACACCCTGTTTTGCCATTTTAGTGTGGTCGTTATACGGTTGTGTACGTGTTTCTAAATTCTGCTCTTATTTCCACTACAATATGGTCGTCTCGTAAAAAACCGAGGCGTATGCACCTCTTGCGTCTTCGTTCGATGAGGCAAATACAGTTTGCAGCAATTCTGCTTGTTCAGGGCCAGTCACGGAATTATGTGGTAGTATGCAGTGTGATGTTGGCTCTCGTTGGTATCACAAAAGTTGTACCGGACGCCGAGCGAATCAGTACAAGATGCTATCATCCAGTGAAAGCCTTCTGTTTAGATGTGCTGATTGTTGCGCTCAGAAAACGAAGCTCCCGTCTTTCACTTGCGCTGAATTCAAAGCACCAGCGTCCAGATTGACAGTTGTCGAGAAGGCCTTAGCCGAGCTTCCCTCACTTGCCTCGATCAACTCTAAAGTGGATTTGAATATGAAATCCCTGAATATTGCAAAGGTGGACGCTGTAACGGACTGTCCTTCTGCTTTCGGTCCAAACGTTGACGAGGCGTTCATTCTACCGGACGCTCCAGTTCACATGGACTATAACTGCCTCGGATGGCATTGTTGACCCGCTCCAAATGAAAGGCGAGTCTCGGGCTCCTGGGCCATTGAAGAATAAGGGTAAGAGGGCAATGAAGCGCGCAAACCGTCCTCCCCCGAACCAGAAGGTGACAAAATGCTCAAGAAACAAGCGCCTGATTTGGAAACACTACCTGTGGTTGCAATTCCCTCAGTGAGACAACAGGTGCCGTCGCCTTCGGTCCCACCGATTCCTGTCAAACAACTAGGTATTATGGATGGCAAAGCATGTGGTGTAAATACACTTCGCCGAGGCGATTCTTATACACATAGCAGTGTGCTTTTCAGTAACGTCACTGAATCCACTGCCGCTCTTCCCACCGAGCGCAGGCTTGATGATCTTTGTTGGCTTAAGTTTGCGTCACCAGGCTTTTACCATCAGGTTTCCCTGGCGTTACTGATAGGAAGCTCATCAGATTGTGGAACGTTCCGGTTGGTCAACCAAATCCCCAACCCCGTCTGCTTAGGGTGGTCCTCTCCACCCCAGAAGAGCGCAGGGTCCTACTGAAATTTGCCTTCAAGCTCAAGGGTACCAACGTTAGTGTGCAACCAGACCTTCCGTTAGCGGATAAGTTAAAGTTAAAGGGAGCCGTCAGAGGCCTAAAAGCTCGGCGTGCAGCTGGCGAGCAAGGTCTCCGATTAGTGGGTTTTCAGGTGGTCAGCCGGCGGTCATTTTCCGCCCTGCCAGCACCTATACCACATGTGCACGACCCAGGGCTGGTCGTGCCGAAGCCCTCCAAATAGTACTTAGTAACGTGCGTAGCCTGAGGAATAAGATGTGCGGGGTGGGTCTGCTCGTAGACAAAGCTCGTCCTGATATACTTGCTTTCACTGAAACGTGGCTGTCTGAGGAAATTACAGATGGCGAAGTATATCTGCCTGGCTACGCACTGTTCCGCGGTGACCGCTGCACTGACCGTCAAGGGGGTGGTGTAGCTCTTTATGTGAGTTAGCACATCGATGTATTTAGGACCAGTGTTTTTCAGTCTCTCGACAAATCTGTTGAGGCTCTCGCAGTCTCGATTTGCGCTTCCCCGGTTCAGGTTACGGTTGCATTAGTGTATAGAAGCTCTATAAGCACCTCAAATGGAATCATTGAGTTTATACGCACTCAAAAGTGTCTGGTGCTGGGTGACTTCAACCACCCAGAGGTTTGTTGGGATGATCTATCTTGCAGTTCGAATCTGGAATCGTTCGGTACAGAATTGCTGGACTTGACGCTGCAGGTACCACTACACCAGTTCGTGGACCTCCCCACTAGGTACATGAGCAATCAGCAGCCGTCTATTTTAGATCTCGTTTTTGCTAAGGCACTTGACTTTGGCTGGCTAGCCGAACAACCTCCTCGTGGCGCCAGCTGGGTGGTTCGGGTTTAACCCGTTCCAGCAAATGGTTCAGCGGCAGTGTTCCAGGACGTGGTGGGTTTTCGCCTAGCAAGCGTTCTCCCTATAAAAAGCCACAAATATCTGCTTATCAACACTGTGACGTGGCTGACGAGACTCGCCATAAAATAAAGTCACTGGCCCGTTGACATCCGGAAAATGGTATTCAACCCACGGACATCAATCGCTTATTCTCACATTCCTGCCGATAACAAACAGTCAAATATTCTGCGGCACATTCAAACATACAAGCTACATTCCTAGACAATTACATACATATATACACCCATAAACTTACATTCCCCGTTATGCCAAATATGTACTCTTTATACATTTTGATCACACTATG